TCCATACGCAACCAAGTAGGCCATAGAAACGAATACAAATGCTCTGAGGAGAGACCTTGCTCCATCTTTCCTCCAGAGATCAGCCTCCTGTTCATGTTGCTCAAGTGGAGGCAAATGACTGAGGTATAGAAAGTACAATCCCACTCTCGTGTCATTAAGCGCAGTGGAATTCCTGGTTGAAGTTACCAGAAACTCGACTCCTTTATAAATCTCGATTTATGTGTCTTGTTCCTGCCCCACAGGTGGGCATGGATTTCCAAGTACAGGCTTGCATTCATCAATGTAAAACAGTAGTAAAAAGATGTAAAAGGTCATAATAACAACATGAGGAAATTCAACGGAGAGAAATGACTACTTGGAGAGTCTAAAGAAAGCAAATACTATTTGAAGGCCCAACTTTCCAATAATTCTCGTCGGCCCAGTCCAATTCCTGTGCTTTTTATTCTGATTCTTTTGAGTAAGATAACTCAGTTTAATGCATCCCCCAAAGCTGAAGCTTGCCTTGATCAGGATATAAAATAAAGTTCCGTTTTTGGTAGCACATGTTTGCACTACTTATTCCTGGCAACAGTGAAACTTCCGGATTCTCACTGTAAAAAATCCCAGTCTTCCATATAAATTGAAAGTCTTCAGGTCAGGAAGGCTACTATGCTGTTAGAATTTGCATGTTTGGGTATATTCCCACTTTTACATAATCCAAGATGCATAAACTGGAGCACACTGAAAAATGAGATACAATCCTTTCTAGTGCACTCCTCACCTGCTTGTTTCCTGCCCATTGTCTGTTCCCTCCATCCTCTGTTCCCCGCGTAAGAGGGAAATCAAAGAAAGCACTAGACTTGAGTGATAGGACTGTCACCGCAGATTCTTTTGGGGAAAAAAAAAGATCTCTATTCTTTTCTAGTTCAATTAAAGTATTTCAAGGTAATGTGATTGGTACATTGCACATAACTACCACCACCACTCTGCTCAGGCACTCTCTCTTTTAGTAACTCTTCCAGAACCTCCGAGTCCAGGTCAGGTGCCAGCCCCTGTGCTTCTGCCTACCTTTGCGATGATCACACTAAGTTGTAATGATCGCTTCTCTCATTTGTCGTCTTCTATTAGAAATTTAGCACCTTGGAGGATCGTGTTGTATGCATCTAGCACAGATTCTTAGCTCAAAAAACCTAGATGAGTGAATGAACAATGTAACATCACAGAAGTTACCGAAAATATTCTGAGCTTAACTTTGTTAAGTGATCAGCTGGACTCTACTCTGTGGTGACATCTTAGGGAGAACTGATATCACAAGGTTTCTGATATGGGGCAGCAGAGTTAATCTGATGAGATGGATGAATAAAAATCACTTCCTCTGGTGGGATCAGAATAATAGTGCAGGCCTCCTGATTGCCAGTCTGAAGCTCTTACTACTCATGACTCTGGTGTCCCTGTGCGTACGTGAAGTGAATTTCTGCAAAATGTCCAAATAATATGTTTCTTCTCTTGAATGTTTGACATAGTAGAAAGTGAGTCAAATAAAAAAATGTCAGTATATAAGGTGTTTCAAAAACAAAATATTTATGTTACATGTTTTTTTATTTTTGTAATTGGTATGCTTTAACATGTATTTGTCTTTGGAATAGAGTTATGATTATAAAAAATTTCTGGGTAGGATGAGAACTTAATTGTCTTAGCAATGAGAGAGAAGAGTTTCAAGATCACTTTATTTATATTTTACTCAAGGAGAATGAGAAATAGATGTACTGGGAAAACCTTTTGCTAGCCTACTCCTTTTCATAAATGGAGCTTTCTTAAAATCAGTGCTATTTCACAGTTGTAATTGTGAATGTTTGCACTATTATCTCTGTGCTGTGTGGTGTCTGAGTGTATGCACCTGTCTGTAGATTACCAAGTCCTGTGATTCTGAATACAGAATGTCTTTTTCTGGCTCTCCCTCCTTTGCATTTCCACTGCCTCTGCTCTAGTTCTGATTTAGGCAAATAAATCAGAATTTAAAATACAGATTTTTTAGATTAAAAACAATGCTCACACATTGTAAAAATGAAAATAAGACAGATATTTAAAAAGATCTCTTCACTCTTCACCAGTCATGCTTTATTACCCAGCTGGCTTCATGCGCACGTGACCCAGGCAGTTGCACAAGGTCCGTGCGGTAGAAGGGTCCTATGCTTGGTTTATTGCTCTGCTGTTGCCTTCTTGAAATTCTTAGTAATTTTGAACACAGAGTCCTGCATTTTCATTTTGCTCTAGGCCTCTCAAAATATGTAGCTGGTCCTGTCACTACCCCAGCCCTCTCCCACTCTCCTCCACTTATGTAATCATTTTTAACTGTTACTTCCAGGAATTTTCTGTGTATGTAGGCATGTTTGCATGTACGCATTAGTTTTTACATGGATGGGATTATTCTGTATGTATTCTATACTTTCTTTGGCTCCTCAATGTTGCATGATGGAATTTTTCCATTAAACAGCCTCTGCCTCCTCAGCACCCATTTCCTCCTTCCCCTAGGCATTCTCTGTACTGCTGCAGGATGGTTTTTCTAATTCTGGTTGTGCCACTCCTCTGCTAAAAATGTGTAATGCTTCCCTGTTGTGTATAGAATAAACTAGCATCCTGGTAAACAAATCAGACTCTGTAGGACCATTGCCAATATGCTGGCAAATTTGAGTTTCTGAGCATGCAGGTGTGAGGGACACCTCCGGACCAGGAGAATCGCTAAGATAAGCCCTCACTGCTAAGCAGCCAGCTAGCTGGTCTCTGCTAGGATCACCTAACCTGAAAATAGGCTTTTATTTTCAGACTCTGCCACATCATATCTCTCTAACGGGTAGGAAAAAGGGATCTTCCCTTTTTCTTACCATTACTTTGTAGAGTTGCTAATAATCAGCCTTGAAATTAGAAAAGACAGTTTAAAAACTGCATGTTTGTGTCCCCCCCAAAATTCATATGTTGAAACCCTAACTCACCAAGTGATAGTATTAGGAGGTGGAGCCTTTGGGAGGTAATTAGATGAGGTCATGAGGGTGGAGGATCCGTGAAGGGATTAGTGTCCTTCTAAGAAGAGGAAGAGACTAGAGCGCTCTCTCTCTGCCTTGGGAGGACACAGCAAAAAGACAGCCAATGGAAGCTGGGAAGAGGGCTCTCAGCAGAACCCAACCATGCTGGCTCCCAGATCTTGGATTTCTCAGCCTCTAGAACTGTGAGAAATAAATGTCTGTTGTTTAAACCACCCAGTCTATGGTATTTTAAGACACACAAGGAAGAAAGCTTTCAGCTTTCTACAGAGTTGATTAATCTACAGCACAGGCTTAGATCATAGGCTTCTTATTATTTCACAGATGAAGAAAACGAGCCTGAGAAACAGGACCTGTCATGTCGAAAGCCACAGAATTTACTGATGAACTTAAAGTAACATCTGCCTTTCAGGTAAATAGACTGTGACATTTCGGAATTTTCCTGAACACTCTGAATTCTGAGGTCAGAACAGTATTCTGAAAGAGCTTAGAGAAGTTTGATCGTTATGGCAACAACTATTTTCACTGCTTCCAGTCCTGTATTTCTAAGCTAGCGGGGTTGGATTGTCCAAGTTGTTGGTTAAAAATGCCTGAGTAATAGTCATTCACATACATGTGTGATCATAGGGGAATTATTCAATCTTTCTGAGCTTAAGTAGAAAACAGATAAAATGATATCAATCTCATAGAATTGCAATTAGGAATAAACAAGATTTTAACTTATCATTTACTCAACAAATGTTTATTAAGTGACTATTATGTATCAAAAATTATGCTAAGCAGTGACCTTATGGCTGTGATTCAAACACATTCTCTACCCTCATGAAGCTTACACTCAGGTAGGACTTAAGGTGTAAAAAAGTTAGCAAGTTCCTTGCACAGAATCAATGCTCAGTTAATAATAATATTAACTGATGGTTAATAAATTTCTAAACATCTGTTTTCTTCCCTTCCCTTTTTAAAAGTAACTAATACTGCTGCTTTATCTTTAGAGATATTCTGAGTCATGAAAATTGGGGTATTTATACTGAAATCACCTTGAAGAAGATGCCCATCCTCCTGCCCTGCCCCTCACCCCCCCCCGCCATTCTTCTTAAATTTTTCCTAGTAGGAAGTCCGAACATAGGCCTAATCTGAAAAACTGGCATACATTCAGTCTAGTGCTCTTTTCTTTATGCATTAACACAGCTTTTGAAAAAAATCAGTTTTTAAACTCAGTCTCGCCCATGTGTGAGAGCCTACAAACAGTTTGTTAGGAGATGGCCATCTAATAAAAAGGACTTTGAAAATCTAGATGAGGATTACTTACTTCATGTTAACCAAGCATCTCAGTCTATGTGCCCAGTTCGCACGTCCGAGAGCTCTGCCGGAATCTACCTACTCAGAGCGCACCTAGCAAGAAGACACTGCATGTCCAAGAAATCAGCTTAGAAGCCTCACTAAAGGAAAAGCAGCCTAGTGAGGTCCATGCGAGACCTGCCCGGAAATGTGAAAGAAGATCAGGAAAGTTAGTGTGGAAACAATGCCATGCACTTGGTAAGCTCTAGCAGAAGTGAGTCTTACATGCAGGAACATTTTATTGTTTGTGCAAGCCACAGATGTCTGTTTTAACCGCAGGGCCTTGCTCGAGCTGCAGTTGACAAGGCCAGCTGCTCTGAACTGCCAACTGTGAGTTGACGTGGCAAGCTCTTCCCAATTTGTGCTGAGAAAACCAGCATGGAATTGGGTCAGCGCAGGACATGACTTTAATATCCTCCATCTGTCAAGTAGACTTATTTGAAAATAATTGAGCATTTTGAGCAAGAACTGTTAAGGGTCTTCTATGGTAACATTTACACACAATCCAGAAAGCTAAATTGCATTCAGTTAGTTATCCTCTGCAGAGTGAGAGAGCAGGAATTGGTCTAGTAAATACAACTGTATGGCTTTTGGTGCTGCAAGTGGCAGAAATTAAAGGCTTCCCCCACTGGATCCAGAACCTACCTTCCTTCCTCCCAGGCACTGCTGTAGTTGAGGCTTAGTTAGGGCACCATATTGGCAGTTGTGGGGTTGCCAAGTTATTTCTCTCCAGTCACAGGTCCTGTTGTCTGAACAACTAAGGCAAGGCACGATCCATTGGCCTGAAATAGACAGCAAAACTTCCTTTGGTTCAGTTTCTACTGGTAAAATTATAGCTTGCAAGTAACTTTAGAATTCAGCTATGATACACCATTACAGAAATTACAGTCAGAAGACTACTTTTATCATATAAATCCAGTGGGGCAACGCATGGCCTCCTGCCAACTAAATGAAATTGCAACATGTAGTAATGTTCTGAAATAACACAGTTCATGCTGAAATCAAGTATGAGTTCTGTTCCGTGAAACCACATACTTATAAAAATTGAGTGATTGGGTACTACTCAATTGTTACTCATTTTTAAATAGTACATTAGGCACTTAATAGGACCAAAGTAGATGGGGAGCCACTAATATTGAGGCAATTGGCCGCAAACAATATTAGCCTAATGCACTCTTAGGTTAGCAATCCAATAAGAGAGAAATTCCCTGCTCTCAAGAGAGTCAAGATATAAGAGAACCCCTTTCATATTCTGAAAATTTATTCTTCTGAAGACTAGTGATTATTCCATAATTTGATTGATGGCCTTTTTGGTGTGAATCTCTTCACCTGTTTGGTCATTTCTTTTTTTTTTTTTTAATTTTTTGTTTATTGCAGTAACATTGGTTTATAACATTGTATAAATTTCAGGTGTACATCATTATACTTCCATTTCTGCATAGATTACATCATATTCAGCACCCAAATACTAATTACAACCCATCACCACACACATGTGCCAAATTATCCCTTTCGTCCTCCTTCCTCCCCCCTTCCCCTCTGGTAACCACCAATCCAATCTCTGTCTCTGTGTGTTTGTTTGTTGTTGTTATTATCTACTACTTAATGAGTGAGATCATACAGTATTTGACCTTCTCCCTCTGACTTATTTCATTTTGCATAATACCCTCAATGTCCATCCATGTTGTTACAAATGGCTGGATTTCATCGTTTCTTATGGCTGAGTAGTATTCCAGTGTGTATATATATCACATCTTCTTTATCCATTCGTCCCTTGATGGGCACTTAGGTTGCTTCCAAGTCTTGGTTATTGTGAATAACGCTGCAATGAACACAGGGGTGCATGTATCTTTATGCATTGGTCTTCACCTCTTTCTATCTGTTGCCTTTATTTCTTCAGCTGTTGGATGAGTTGTATACTGTTATTCTCACGTGATCAGTGTGAGGATTTAATGGGATAATGTATTCAATGCATCTAGCACAGCTACGATATCATATTCACCTTTGTTATTAGCAGACTTCAGGCTCAAAGCAGGTCATAAGCGTTAGTTCAATGTTTATAAGATAAATAAATATTCTCAGTGCATTTAAGATATTTTCTATTTTATTGATAAAGTAATACGTATTCAGAATACTTCAGCTTTTAGTGTGGCTACCTTAATAATTTATAAGAAAAAATCAAGAAATGATTTTTGTTTTTCCCTTGTTCATCTTTTCAGAAATGGCGTTTGAACCAGCACATGAGGTAGAGTGGTCATTTATCTCCTGTGTGGAGAAGATCCTGATGTCACCAGCAACTCCCTGCTCTACCCTAAAGGTCTTATTACGTTACTACTATATATTTCTCTATAAAATATTGAGGAGCTAAACATTCCCAGCTACTTTTTGAGTTAGAAAGAAAAAATTTTCACAAGTTTGTCCATTCTGGCTTTTATTTGTGGTATTGCTAGCAAAAGTATCTGGTGTGATTAATTTTAGTGGGAAGAATTTCTGCTTTCAGGGGATGACTATCATGTAGTTTACATTTCACGACCTCAGGGATGTCAGAATTGTGTATGTGAGTGTGTGCCTGTGTGGAAATAGTTACAAATAATAAAATATGAAAGCAGATCTAGCTTATGGTGTACTAGTCGATCACAGAAAGGGAAAAAAGTGGGGGTATATTACGAGAGAGAAACTGAAGGAGATAAAAGAAAATATTACTTTCTAGGAGGATTTTAATTTAATACATTATTGAAATGTCTATCTTATTAGATGTTAGCTATGATTGGTATTAAATACCATAATAATTAAAAAAAATAGCTAACATTTTCATAGCACCTGCCAGATGCTGGGGATATTCTGAGCACTTTAATACACTAACTTATTTAAGCCTCTTAACTATAATGCTAAACCTCAAAAATATATAATCAGGTTACAAGGTTACAATTTACACATGTAAAATAATTACCTCATAATAATATGTAATGCATAATTGAGTAAAAATATCTGTGTGGTCCTGACACATACACCTGGGCTCTGTGGACCTCAACACGGCACATTAAAGTCACCTAGAGAGATTTTTAAAATCCCCATGCCCAGGTTGTAGCCTAGACTGATTAAATCAGAACCACTGGGTATGGGCCTCAGGCATCAGTATTTTTTTAATGCTTTTCAGGTGATTCCAATATGCAGCCAAGGTTGAGCACCACTGTTTAACTTGGACAAATCACTTAATCTTTTCTCTATAAGGAAAATATGTATAGCACCTGCTGTAGTGCCCAATACCTAGATTGATGAATATATGTTACTCCCCCACCCCCACCTTAAATAAGCCATGGTAGTTCAGAATAAAGAAAGCACCACGGGAGCCAGAGTTGTCTGGAAGGTTCCATGGAGCTCACAAAATGTAATTAGGTCTCATGGATAGATAAGATTTGGAGAGATGAAATGGGTGGCACTTTAGGGACAGTGACGAGGCGGGCCTGACAGGAGTGAGACTAAAGAAGTGACTGGCCTCCACAACAGAGTGTATATATTTGAGGGAAAAAGAAGGTCTGCTAGGTGAAAGGTTTTTCCAAAGTTTCCAGATGTAGAGAATAGCAGTACTTCTAAAAGATACAACACAGAGAGTTTAGGAGAGGTGCTGGTTTTTGAATGGCGAAATGAAGACTAACCTCAAAAGTATTTGTTTCTCCATCCAATTCTCTTTTGTAACTTTTCTGTGTTTTTCATTCAGAATATATCTTGCTTTCTAATCCTAATTTTGCTCTGGCATACAGAGTTTGCAATCAATCATCAACCCCTTCACATCTTTGCATGGCTCCTTCTAATACTATGTGGTTTAGACACAGCCTTAAGTTTAACCTCTGTTGATGAATCTCCTCAAGGAAATCTACTTCCCGAGGATCCTTTTCTTCATAGACATGTGCATTCAGTGGGGCATCTAAAATCCTCTTGGATGTGGTTGTAATCCTCTTTTACAGATGAGGTAAACTGAGGTCTAAAGAGTTAAATGACAGAAGTAGGATCGTGCTGTTAACGACAGGGCTAGACCAGAAATGAGGTCTCCCAGTCTCCAATTTGCCAATCCTTTTCTCATGTTAGGTTAAGTCAGCACAAAATCATTGGTTGAAAATGAAATATAGCTCAACAGTCTCTTTGGTAGCACTCATAGGGAAACCCACAAACAGGTTGTTATGATGAACTTACCTTTATTTTAAAAAGCTGAATTTATTCATTGGGTTCATGTGTTGACAGGGACTATGTTTTCAAAAAAAGATTGTTAATTTTCTTTCTAATAGGATGGCAGTATGTTGGGGCCATAAATGTATTTCTGCTACTGAGATTATGTTTAGTAATATTTTGAAGGGTTCAGTTTTCATCAGATCCTTGAGCATCTAAGAGCACATGCATCCTCTCCCCCAGACACTCTCTCTCCCCCTAACCTTGCTGACAGTTAATTTTGTACAAATTGAGGCCTTCTTTGGTCATTTGCTGCTAAGGTTGAAGAAACAAAGTGGCCAACTGCATGCACAAAGATTCAAATACGGGTGCAATTAGTTTGTGGGCATAAAATCGCATGCACATAAAAAAGACGTCTGATTGGGTCTCTGAAAACTTGGCCCCAATGGTTCATACTGCTATATATTTACACAGTCATAACTCTTTGCATTTTTGTATTAGTTAACAATGTCTTTTTTTATTGTGAGTTAGTAACACTGCTTGAAATAGACATCTGTATAACATCTGCAGGACTGGAGTTTCTTGACATTTTAAATGATAACAGCTTTCAACTAAAATTGTCAAGAAGAAGGATATAAATTTTATGTTATATATTTAAATGTTGAATGAATCAAAGCTGTGATTTCTGAAATAAAGTATGACATATGTTTTAGAGAATAACATTCTGAGGGATGAAATTGCCTTTTGAGAGAAGTTACTTGATTTATAATTATGACTTTATATTTAATACAAGTTAGATTTCAGCCATTTAAGTGAATCAGATTGGGTGATATAATGGAGAAAAAAAATTCAACTTTGTGACTTAGGGCCATGGTGATATGCAAAATCATATAGATGATAGCACTAATTCCTGACTCTATACTGCTATAAAATAAAGCAGTATTTACTTAAGGAGAAAAAATACATCTATATTTCAAATATTAGAAGTATTAAAGTGTAAGTTGTAATATTTCCTTGCTGAAACTAAGACATGATAAAATCTTTTGTTTACATTATCATAAAATGCAATCTGAACTACTTTCCTTAAAGGTAATTCTCATTGGCTAATCATCATATACATTTCTTCTTTCTCCAAATTAGAAGAACTATTTTTTCTTTCTTAAGCAAGAGATTTTATTCTTAGGTTGTGTCTTATAGTTAAATTATTTTCTAAAGACTAGATATCAACTTAAGAATAAAAAAAAAAATCCCTCCAAATTATATTAGCTAGTGTTATTGAAAAGACATTTTGACCATCATGACATTGGCAAGGTGAAAAAATTGATCCAGTTCTGCCAAATAACTGTAATGTGCTGTGAAAATAAGATTTTGGAATCAATCTGTGGCCTCATAAGCTGAAGTCAGAGACCCTAAATAAACTTCCTTCCAATGTTGTCACCAATGACAACTTCTTTCAACAGGGGGAAGTCCTACCACGAAGGAAGGAGATCATTTCCAGCAGCAAAAAATCCATTCTTGCAAACTGCTGTTCCCAATCTCACTCATTTACTTTGATTCTTTAGGTCTTTAGAATCTCAAGGGTGGACCAGTTATCCATAATTGATTGTGCCCTGGCTGCTCAGAGTCTTCTGTAGAGGGAGGAGGGCTTGGATCTTGGTTTTAGTTCAGCAACCACTTTTAAATCATGTATTAGACACTGAAAGATGAATAAAGGACAATCTCTTCTCTGGAGAAACATACAATCTAGGGCAGTCAACAGTAAAAACTTATTGCTAATGCATCTTTGACATATTAATACGCATACACTGTAATAGATGTACATATACTTCCATATGTATATATTATGTCCATTATAAAATGAAAATAAGAATGATTAGATAAAAATAAAAGTACATATATTTTTATCTTTACTGGCTCCATCCCCGTGGATTGTCCTGGGCCTCTCCCTCCCCTTGTTCAGATGCATCATTCCACTTTGAAGACTACTGATTAGAGAAAGGGAGAGAAACACATAAATTAAACACCTGAAACATGATGAGGTAAGTGCTATTGCAGACATGTGCCCAAAGTATTCTGAGAGCACAGAAGAGAAGGTAGTCTGGGTAGGGGTGGAGAATGGGGGAGTGCTAAAGAAGGGCTTCCTTCTTTAGCAGGAGAAGTAGGCCAAGATGAGAAGGAGACTTTTAGGAGCAGGGAATAGCATGGACAGGAGCCTGGAGTCCTGAAGCAGCAGCATTATCGGCATTAAGTGAGGCCGAGGGGCTGATAGGAATTCGGAGAGATTGGAAGGGTCAGATTGTGGAGGCCTGGAATTGTCAGGTGAAGGAGCATGGGCTTGATTGGGGAGTCAATTTTGGGGGCTTCTCTAAAGAGGCCTCACTACTCAAGTTACCAGAAGGCCCCTGTTCTATGACAGCCTCCACAGTAAAGACCAGGCACGGAGACGGCTTCGTATCAGGGCCTGGCACAAGTTACTTATTTAAATTTAATTTAATGGCCAGAAGAAGCTACCACTTCTTGAAGAATCTCAGTAATGTATTTCAACTTTCTGTTGTGAGGAATTTTTGACTTGGTTCAGTAGGAGGAACAGAATTAAGTTGTTTTATGATTCTCATAAATTGTCATCTGATAAAAAAATACTTAACTAGACACACTGGTGTCTCCTTTGTATGTAAGAGTATATATCTCATTTAGCAGAAATCATAAATCATACCACTGACACATCATAAAGGGTAAATCCCTCCCTATGCACTGACTGTAATTTATTATTTAGAACACATGTTCAAGAACGGGGATATGCCCATGTTTGCTAACTGTGCATGCCAAATTGCAATTTGTCCTGCCCATTTGTGAAACTCATTTCTCATTCGAGCTGTGGTGTGAAGTTCATGGCAAGGGGAGAAAAGCTCCTGAGTGTTTTCTCAGACTTTTTAGATGAAGGGAGACCTGGGGTCAGGAGGCCAGAGTGGTAACCAGGAATCTCAGAGAAGATGCTCCCTACTCGTCTTATCACCTTGGAGGTATTTTTGGTCCCAGCTCTGGCTTGACCCCACTAGTCTCCACTGAAAGAGGAGGGCTGGGGAAGGAGAGAAACAGGGAATGTGGATAGTGGCACCAAAGTCTCTCATTCCAGGTCTGTGCTAGGCTTAGGCAGGATTGAACACCGTGAGTTGAATTTGACATCATAATTTTCCTACCTCTATTAATACTTAACATATGGGAGACATTAGTGACCATTCCAAAGATTTTTTTTAATTAAAAGAAATAATTTAAAACTGAACATATATACTCTGCAGTTCTTTGATTCATAAGGTCAATAGATATTTATTTTGTACCTACTCTGAGAAATTAGAGTGCTAAGTGAATTGATACAGTGTGAACAAATCAGACTCTCTGCCCTTATGCAGCTGACAGACTGAGAAGGCTGATATCAAGCAATTAGTTGCATACTTAATCATTTAAATAATTGGTGTAACTGCTGTGGAAGAAAGCGCAGGATCTATGGGAGTATAGAATAAGGAAACAAATCAGAGCTTAAGGAAGGCTCTCTGGCACAAGTGACTTTTGAGCTGAGATCTGTATATGAGTATGGATTAACTAGGCAAAGAGTAGAGGGTGAAGAGAAAAGCATTTGATTAATCAAAATATCTCACACATTAAAACCAAGCATTTATATGAATTATATGTGTCACAGTTCACGCTAATAAAAAAGTGATGTATTACCTTGATTTTTTGTGCAAGCATAGTTTAAATAAGCATATACTTATGTATATTAAAGGATTTTCTTTTAAGAGAAAAGGTATACAATGTGATAGTCACCTTTTGTGTCCCCAGATGGACAAATCTTTATCTCACGCTGTGAAATGGCTTCAATGTAGTCAGAGGAAATAGGCTGTAACCCACAGGTTTCCTCCGGGTGAATCAGTAAGCCACAGTCCTGCAGTAAAATGATAGAAATTAGCTGTCACAGTAATTAACCTGACCTATAATAATAAAATATAAAAAATAAGATTTTCTGTGCCAAATAACTTTTATTGATAAAAGGGAGCAATTCTTATTTACCTTTCTTGGGGTATTGACTTATTAATAGTTTTTGTGCTATAAGTAGCTACTTGCATTTGGGGATTAATATAAATTCTAATGACAATTTAATATTTATTTTGGCATTGATATTGATGTTATTGCTCTGCCAATTTTTAAAGAAATAGATGCAATTTTTACTTTAAAAATATACCTATGTGTTGACTCATTAAAAATATAACATACCATAATAGAAGACAACATTACCCTGTAATATTGTGGAAAAGAGAGTTAATGTGAGAAGGGAAATGGAAATATTTGGGGAAAATATTAATTTATCAGATGAATTTCACTTGAGTGAACATTTATTAAAGACCTTGATATGCCAGGAATGTAATCAAATACAAATATTTTATTCAAAACATGTTCATATATTTATAAAAGTAGGTAACATCTCACTGCAATGAATATCATCACAGAGGTGTTCTGTACTAAGCAACGCCTTCCATAGTCTGACATGTGCAGTCTGAACAGCAGATCGTTGGCTCTCTGAGACATCTCTCCCCATCTCTTCTCCACTCCAGCAGTTCGGACCACTCTCATTTTCTCTAGCTTATTCTACAAAGCTATTGGCACCTGTACTTGTTCTGTGTCGTTTTATGCTGCCTCACCTGGTTCCCCTGCTGCCTTTCTCACCTGGTTCCCTCAGTCCATCATGATTTAGGGCAGGTAAAAATGCTATAATCTCTATCAGGAATGCTTTCCCCCAAATTTTGCATGGAGAGCATCTTTTTGGGTGTTAGTTCTCAGCAAGGCATTCTTGAAATTCTGGAACAATTATGTATCCTGCTTTTGTCCATGTCAGCACCATTTGTTTCCTTCATACTTTTCACCATTTGGTAATTAGGTTTGTTATTTGTTTCTTTTCCACAAGACTGAATGCTCTATGAGAACAAATAATTATTTTACTCACACATATACCCAGTACCTACCACAAAGTAGGCAACAATAAACATTTACTGAATGCATAAAAGGTGAGAGTTGTCTCCCTCTCTATAGCATAAATTCTCAATAATGGAGAGAAATAATTGTTTGACCTCTTATTTGCTTTGTAACTCTGCCTTTAATGAGCAGTTTCTAGTCAACTTCCCTCATACTCTCAAATATCCTAATCCCCAACTCAATTCCCAGATCTCATACAAAAACGTCCAGGATATTAAGAAACAAAAGGAACTGGGTGGGTGTACAGACTTCTTGAAATCTTGATTTGGTATACATATTTTCATTTTTAATTCATGACTGAAAGTGGAGTTTACCATACTAATTAAAGATTAGAAATGTGATTTGTATTAAAATGTTCATTATAATAAATCAATTAAAAATAACACATAGTTTATAATAATGTGAGGAGTTTTAATCTTAATAAACATCTATGAGTGACATATTTGTGTGTGTGGGGGGTGTGTGTGATATCTATCTATACATTTATTTTCGGTGGAGACTAGACCTTTTGTTTAAGGCTAGAAAAAAAGGTCATTATACATCTATCAGATTGAAAAAAAATGTTTATATCCAACATTAGGGAGGGCAGTGAGAAAAAATTACCATTATACACTGCTGATGGGAGTGTGAATTAGTCCAGCTACTTTGGAAGGCAGTTTATACTAAAACTAAAAACTCACAGACTCCATAGCCCTGAAGTCAGACTTCTTAGCATCTACTGGAGAGAAACCCTCATGCAACACATAAAGAACACGTATAAGGACAAATCTAAATGGACTAACATGGAGAGATTTCCAAGACATATGATTAAGAAAAAACCGAAGAACATGTTTTGTTAAAGAACAATATATGCCATATGAAACACACCATAAACATGCCACAAAGTCACCTAAATTCAGGTACTTCAGATTGAGATGTTGTGTTCAACTTATTAATAAATAAATAAATATTTTATATAAATAAATATATATCTCTCCACGCAAATAATGTTGAAATATTTCTAAAAGACTGGATTTAGATAAACCTTTGCCTGAAAATGATTGTATGGGGTCTCTGTGGTATGCGTGTGCATGATGGTGTCCTGATAGTCATCTGGAGGGCGTTGGAAAGAGAACCCAGAACACAGCTCTAGCCAGTCTCCCTAGATACAACTGGCAAGTATCAATCAATGAGAAAGACATACTGTTACGTGTGCTGATGGCTTGTCTTGTGGGGAACCAAACTGATGAGTGGGTGGGGGATATTTCAGGTGGGTGGCCTTTCTGAGGAGACAACTTCTGAACTGAAGAATGCAAAAAACTGGGGGATGAGAATTCTGAGAAGAAGGAATTGCATGTCAAAGGCCATGAGGAGGGAAAAGAATTTATCTCATATCTTGGGTTAAAAAAAAAGTAAGTCATTTTTTAAAAAAAACGAAATGCTGACAATCTATATATTTTTTTGTGAGGAAGATCAGTCCTGAGCTAACATCTGATGCCAATCCTCCTCTTTTTTTTTCCGCTGAGGAAGATTCGCCCTGGGCTAACATCCATGCCCATCTTCTTCTACTTTATATGGGACACTGCCACAGCATGGCTTGCCTAGCGGTGCATCGGTGTGTGCCAGGGATCCGAACCTGCGAACCCCGGGCTGCCGAAGTGGAGCACTTACACTTAACCGCTGTGCCGCCGGGCCGGCCCCCCCGACAATCTATATTTTAATAATCAAATCATGGAATCTTTTCTTAAGATAGCACCTCCAAGGTTATCTACCATAAATTCCTCACTCAGAGGAAGAATGATTAATTCATCATGTGGTCCTAAGCATTTTTGTATACATCTTTAAAATGGAAAGGTATTAATTGAATATCTAGAACGTGCAAAGTGCCACACTGAGAATATGAGGCCCTGACCTCAAGAGACATAGCCTAGCTCTTCATCAGAAGTTTCTTCTTAATCTTGAACTGAAATCTGCATCTCATTTGTTCTAATTACCCTCTTTGGTACAGCTTAGAATCAATTTACTGTAATAATATATAAGCATGTTCTGATCTGACTTCAAACCTGCTGGCACAAATGAGTGGCAATAGAGCATGATAATATCTTAAAATGTTCAATGTTTGTACTTTCTGAACACACAGGATCCCACATATGAGCCATGATAATAGAGTCAACATAATGCAGAACACAGAGAAGCATAGTGTAAGTGGGAGCCAGACTGAGTGACCTGCTACTTAAAATCTCAGCCTTGTCTTTGTGTTTGAATCATTACCTGGCAAGGTGCTGTCTCTGCCTCAGTTGGAGGTACCCATAGGGTACTTGTTTTTCAACAGACAGTAGATCAGGCCTGTTGGTTCTAACTAAACAACCAAGACTCTAGTAAATTCCAAGATAGGACAGGAATCAAAGTGATATTGCAAGGGATAGACAGAGCAGAGACTGGAGAGGGATGTTAGATTTTGAAATAAATGAAATTTAAAGTCATACCCTCTTGTCTGTAGTTTAGGCCAAAGAATATTCTATTGTATCCTGTGCTTCCTTTTGAATTTCTCTTTAGCAGTTAATCTTTGTTTGGAGTTCATATATCCTAATCTTTTATGTTAAAGTCTTCACTACTTTATAAAGCCAAGACAGCCCACTTGAGTGGATATTAATCATTTTCTGGGGGCAGACGAACAATGTTACCCTTAAAGTTGAGTGAAACAAAGCATATAGCCAAAGGCAGACTCAAGTCCAGAGACTGCCTGACAGAGTTGAGGGAGATAGGAAAGAGAAGGTGGTATCAACATAGCTAGGTGGGCTTCGTGCACAGTTTAGGGCATAAGAGAATAGTGGCACACGCTGGAGAGAGCACCACTGCGTTAGGAGTCGCACTTGTGAATTTTAGCTCCAGCTTTGCCGTGAGCTGGTTGCGTGATATCGAGTAAGTCACTTGATCTGGTTTTCCCAACATAAAATGGCGAACAGTGGAGAGAGGAGAGGAACGGAGAGAGAGAGGGGCAAGAATTGCATGAAATGTTCTCAAGTACTGCAGCAGGCGGTGTTAATGGTCAACACAGTATCCATTCTCCCTTCTTCCTTTCTCAAAGAAAGACCTGTGCTTTGTTGTAGGCAGCAATGCATCTAGCGTTAAAAAACCAAACAAAAGTCTATTTCCCGGTCTCCTTTGTAGCTAAGCTTGGCCATATGAAACAATTCTAGGCAAAGAAATGCAGAACTTGGCTATTGATTTCTGGAAAAGTTTTGCTTCCCTGGCGCCACTTTTTCTTTGTCACTCTGTTTCTTCTTTCCACTTGGAATGCTGATGTGAGTCTGAAGGAGGAGCAGCCATATTGTGACCATGCGGCAACCATAAACAGAAAGATAGAAAGACTTTGGGCTGCCTACCTCTGCACTTCTTGCAATGCATGAAAAACAAACTCCTACTTGGTCAAACCACTATGGAAATGTAAGATGCAGCCAAACTTCTCTCTTCCTCTAAGAGTCTATGAAACCTATTCTTCTCAGGCTCTATGAATTTTTTTGAGTATTCCTTTAGATCTTAAAAGTGATTAACTCCACTAATATAAAAAATTTAAACCTATCTTGAAAGGAAAGATTCATTAGCATCTCTCATTTCCTTCCTCACTGGTGTGATTAGTAATTTGGTCAGGTTCAGGCATATTCAAGAAAATGAATGACAGCTCTTCTTGTCTTAAGTATCATCTCTTGGAGCCTTAGAGTCTAGATACATGGAAAAGGTAGTATTTAGCAGAGTTGCTTAAAATGTTATTAAGCCCCGAAAGCCCCACATTTAGAGTGTATCATTTTGCTGGAGACTTCATACATTCCTGAGTGGATTGTCATAACTCTCAATAGAGTGCAATCAGATCATTAACAGGGATTTTCTTGTTCAAACACATGCAGAGTACACAGGTTTAGGACATAATTTAAACAA